GCCAACTATGACAAACCCACAGCCAATGTACTAAGTGGACAAAAGCTGAAGTCTTTCACTCTAAACTCAGGAACAAGACAAAAGTGCCCATTATCAGTACTCCTTATAATTCAAGAAACATTAGCCAAGACAGTTCCAGAAACATTAGCCAGAGCAATTAGACAAGCAAAGAAATAAAAGGAATGAGGATGAAGTTAAATTATCATTATCATATTTGGCAATAATATGATTTTCTATATAGAAGACCTAAGAAATTCCACCAAAGACTGGTAGAACTGATAACCAAATTTGGTACCATACAGGACACAAAGTCAACACTCAAAAAATCAACAGCACTCCTGCACACAAAAGCACTCACTAAGAGATAAATTAGAGAAACAACACCTTTCATAACAGCATCAAGAAAAATGATACATAGAAATTACCTTAAGGAAGTAAAAGACATCTACATTTTGAAAACTGTAGTACTCTGAAAAAGGAGATGAAAGAGAATATTAGAAAATGAGAAGATAGCCCCTTTTCTTGGATAGGCAAAACCAATGTAGTAAAAAGTGGCCATACTTTCAAAACTATACAAAAAGGTCTAATGAAATTCCAATCAAAATACCAATAGCATTCCTCACAGACCTAGATAAAAGAATCCTAAAATTCATATGGAATCAGAAGACACCTAGAAGAGCAAAAGCAATTCTGGGCAACAAGGGCAAGGCAGGTATATCACACAATCCTGGACTTTAGGTTATACTACAAAGCTACACAGATACAAACAGCAAGGTATTGGAAAAATGAAACAAAAATTCTGAAAATCAGATTTGAGGATCAATGGAACAGATTAAAAGCGGAAACAACTCAACTCCAAACACACTCAGCTACCTTATGCCAAAGGGGTCAAATATCTTAAGATTGAATCTGACCCATATCTTCCATAACTAAACTAAAATAGAAATGGATCAAAGATCCAAATAATGGGCCCAGAATTAAGCTCAGTGGTACTGTGCTTGCCTTGCAAACACAAGGTCCTGAGTTCAATCCCCAGTACCAAAAAACTAAAATCCAAGTATTAAGACAGAAACACTTAATCTGCTGGAAGACAGTGCTATGGTTTGGGTCTAGATGTCCCCCTATAGCCTCACGCATTCATAGGTAAGGCTGGATCTGGAGTGTGTGATGCTGGGATTAAGGGTGTATGATTATTAAATCAGTCCACTGCTTTGTTTGGCACCTGCTCTAACACTGGTAGCCTAGATAGAATACAAAAGGGGCAGAAAGAAGCTGCTAAGGTTACTTGGACTTGCTGCTTGGTATCTTCTGCCTTCTGTCTTCCATAAACTCTTTCTTCTCTGCCATGCCATCCTGCCTTGGAGCCAGCCAACTGTGGACTGAAACCTCTATGAACTGTGAGCTAGTGCTCGCTTTGGCAGCACATATACTAAACTGTGAGCTAAATGAACCTTTTCTCCTTTAACTTTGGGTGTTGGATGTTTTGTCTCAGCAATAAGAAAAGTAACAGAATAGGTAAAACTCTCGAAGAAACAGGTATAGGCAAAGATTTTATGAACAAAACCCCAACTGCATAGGAAATATTACAAAGGATCAACAAATGGGGTCACAACAAATTAAAAAGATTTTGCACAGAAAAGGAAAGTATCAATAGAGTGGAGACAATATTTTTTGACGTTGGTTTCTATATATTATAAAGCCTAGTTATTTCAATAAAGAGCTTGAAGGTGTTAGAGAAATAGAATGTAATTTTTTCTATTTAATTCAACTAATTCTATTTATAAATAAGAAAACTGATTCTGCAGTTTAACAGGTCATCTTGTGCTACAACCAAGAATGAAGCATGACTATGGGCCAATGCTGTTTCTAAATTTAAGCTTAGCTGCTAAAGTCTAAACCAGCTTTAAATGAATTGACTTAAGTGAGTTTTCAAATAACCTTAAGTTAGACAAATATTTCATGTCTTATACAAGTTTGATTTGTTTCAGTGCCAAATATCTGACACAGGCAATGCTTTAGTGACAAATTATTGCAATATAAAATGACCTCATTCAGAGGCCCAGTTCTATTTGCCTCCTGTGTTTCTGTAATTTGTAAAGAAATCTAAGGATTGTAAGAATTTCCTGTGCTCCAATTTGTAAAGAAGATAATATTTAGGGGGAAACACCTTCCCTATATAATAAAAACATTTGTGCAGAACAAATTCCTTGTAGGCTCAGAAGCTCACTGAGCTTCCAGTAGTCATTACCAGAAGTACCATATAATAAGCAGGAAAATGAGCTCAAGTTCCCTCTGCCGTAGTTACATTGATGCCTTACTACACAGCCAGGAATAATAAGATGTAAAAATAGAGCCACAGAAACATTTGGTACATGTATAGTTTTGATGTGTAGA